TTTCCAACCCATTTAACACCAAGAGAAGTGTTTTCTCAATATAAGCACATTCACTTTTCTTTCTACCACCAATAAGAGACACTTTACTCTTTCCAAAGCAAAAGGGAGCTCACTTTCCCTCCACTTTCTTCTCTCCATTTCTTATTCACCAATCATTTAATCTCAACACCCACTACTGCTAAACTTGTATCAATTGAGGGACGATAAGACCTTGGTGAGATAAGTTAAGAAATTTGTTCCACACATAACAAAGAATGAATTAAACTCTAGTTTTGGTGGGCAGAATTGTCGGTATTTGTGCCAGCGAGAGTAGTAGGTATCTATAAAGGCAGAGCTAAAATTTTAACTTTACGAGATCTGACCAGTGACAGATTCAAGATTTAAAGTCATGGACGCTTGCCGAAAAAAGTTCCAAAAAAAAAGGGAAAATGAGTTTAGTTGTGGGAGCTCGCTCAATGCTTATCTAAATTTGTTCTACGTACGTCTAAATCCTATAGACCAAAATCACATTATATATTCCTGTATGAAACTAACCTTCATGTACACTAATTACGAAGACAACATCAATCGCATCTCATATGGTCCCATGTTGCCAAATATGTTTAAGAGGCCTTTCCCATTTTCAGAAACTAAGGAAAAACCCAACCTTAACTAGAAAATAGTACTATAAAGATGCAGAAACCGAGACATTAAAGGAAGAAGAACCAAGAATTGATCTAAGGCTAGTTTTAGAAATGTAAACAGAGATATGATTTATTAGTCTTAATGACTCGATAAGAAATATAATCTTGAAAGGTTGTCCAATCCCCACTACCATAAATCACATTAATTCAAATCAACTGAAAGCATTACGTGCATGATACAATTGATTTACGAATTAGCTATGAACTTTGTCGCCAAATCGTTCGTAGCTAACATAATTTTTTGATAATCTGTCGTTAAATAGTCACTAAGTAGGATTAACAATGGATTTTTTTGTTTAGCTACTAAATTTGTCAGTAACGGATTTAGAGAAGACGCAGTAGGTCATCTTATACAAATATGAAAAGAAATAACAATAAATACATATATAAATTACAGAATTCGCTGATTCTGAATTCTAAATCTGACACTAAAAACAACATGAGTGCATAATTACGAGTCATGTTGAAACCAGTTCATCATCAACATCAACATCTCATGATCATGCATGCCAAATCAACAATTAATCAAGAGGAGAACCCATTAATCCAAAGTTCCAAATCGTTGTGTTGCGTATCTTCTGCGAACAATGTTGTTTGACTATAATTCGAAGGGAAATAGCTCCTTTCCTTTTCGTTTTTGCTGCAACTATCTCCAACAGTAGTTGTATTCTCCAAGTTTTCACATATATCAGGTGCATTTAGAAGCTCAGAAAGAAAAGGATCGTCCATATCAAAACCAAACATAAAATTAAAGTTATAATTTTCCAATTCTCCAGAGAAAGTTGGTGTTGATCCTGATATTGGTTGTTGCTGCTCGGACAAAGATGACACTGATAATGATGACGATGATGAGGACGATGCTACAATAGTATTTGCATTTTCTATTGTCAAATCCTCCGCCATTACCTTGTCATCGTTATCATTATCAAGAATTGAGTTGTCAACATGAAAGCGTAAGAACTCAACGGGATTCCTGGTGCAAGGTGGGAAGACTGAGTGAGAATTACTAGCCCTTTGAGCAATCTCATTGTGAGACTGATCAACATTCTGTGGCTCAGCAACCGAACTACTAGTAGGAGGAGGAGTAATAAAAACTTTAGTGCACCTAATTGCCTTTGTGCGGATAACCAAACACGGGGATGAAGAAGACGATGATCCTCCGAATCCAACGTCTGTTAGCAAATACTGTGAATCCTGATTAGGAACTGTGTGTTCTTGATTATTTTTGTTTGGTTGGGTAACTGGGTCGGACTTGGAAGATTTGGCATGACTAGAACGAGGGCGCTGACGATTAATGGAAGATATTATGCGGTTTGGCTGACCAGGAGCAACTCCTTGTTGTAGTTTTTTGCCGATGTTTGTGTTCCAATAATTCTTGATTTCATTGTCTGTTCGTTCTGGTAACCTTCCAGCTATCAGAGACCATCTGCACCAATTGTCAATATTCATATATTATATCACACCCAACGAAAAATGCAATGTGTTTATGTATATTCCTCATTTCTTTATTATCTGTTTTTGGATGAGACAAATCTAAAATTTTGAGTCAGTGAGTGTAAAATATCGAAAATATCGTAACTATATATAAATACAGGTCAAGTCTAAGACGATATGGATTCATCCACAGCTAGTCACTACATTTGGTTTTAGGGTAAGTTAGAAAAGATTGAATATTGAAGGAACATATATGAGCAAAGGAATGACCTATTTCCAAGAAGTTTATGAAGTCTGATAATGAGATCTTCTTCATCTGGAGTTATATTTCCCCTCTTAATGTCTGGCCTTAGATAATTCAGCCACCTTAGTCTGCAACTCTTTCCACATCTTTTAAGACCTGTTATTTATTCAAAATCATTTTGCAACTCAAAACAAATACTACTATAGTAATAAATAAATAAATAAAAATTAAAAAAGGTAAAGCTCACCAGCTCTTTTGGGAAGATTTCTCCATTTCCCTTCACCATTTACTTTGATATAATCTATTAGAATTTTATCCTCCATAGGAGTCCATGCCCCTTTGTTTAATCCTTCTTTAGAACAACAAGGCTTTCTTCCCATAATTTCTATACAATAAGTTAGAATAATAATGTTTATAGTATCTGTTGTTTGTCTCTGGGACTTGGCAATGGTCAAGTTTCAATATTATGCATATACTTATAGTATGTCAATTCAACATCCACCCCTCACCCTCCAAGGGTGACATACGCCCCACCCCCCACACTAGGGGAGGAGGGGTAGGCAAAAAGTGGCAGAGTTGTCCCCCCCAAAATATCATTATCTTATTAAATGAAATGCAGATACACAAGGTGACAAATATTTCTTCAGTTTACCTGTA